CTCGGTTAACGCGCTTAGTGTCGCCTACGTTGGTCTAGCGTGTGCCCTGACAAATTCTATGAGACTCGGAGGCAGCCTGTTCTCGTATGCAACGCTGTGTCTGACGATAACGCGCGCGCAGTAGCACTCCAGCGAATGATACTGCGCGCTCATTCTGCCATGTATCTCGTCGCTCGACTGCATGTTGCAGTGGAAACGCGTCAGGTAAATCCGGCGCCAGAGTTCGTACGATGTCTCTCCCCGTGCGTTCACCACGTCGACGTGTGCGCCGTGGTTGAACAGCAGTGCGTGCACTATCTGCACCCACCCATCCCTCTCTCGCGCGTAAACATCATCTTTGCATGCGAGCATCGCCCTACAGATGCTGTGCAGTGGGGTGTCACCCACGCTGTCGCGTGTGTTAACCTGTAGAAGTACGCCGGCGGACTCGCACGTCTGTAGGAGAGCTGACGCCGCTTGTACCGCTAACCCCGCTTGTTCTGCTGGTGCTGCGAATGATCCTCGCTCACTCATTCTGGTGCATCTCAGCTCTGCCTCGCTGCCTATTATAGCCAGTGGCATCATCTTGTTACAATCGACGAGGTTCGGGTCAGCTCCGTGTTTCAAGAGGAGAGCAATCATCTGTGTGAACGAGAGAAACGAGGATCGTTAACAACCCCATTTTAGGTTCGTTCCTTAAAGAACAAGTTTCTCCGAGCATACTACCTTTATTACTGTTGCCGATTACTAACTATTACTATTATTAAATTATTAACTATTAACCGATTACTATTACTGATTACCTTTATTAACTAGACAAAAATGCATTGGAACATCGCTTAAATTGTCTTCGTCGTTCACAACGTACGACCAAAAGTTTTCATCGGTCCTGAGTAGATTGCAGGATTAGTGTAATGCGGTAAAACTATAACATATCTATTATTAACTGTTAACCGATTACGATTACTGATTACCTTTACCATCTATAAGAAAATACATTAGGACACTGCTAAAATTCAGTCTCAATCATTCGCAACGTACGCCCGTAGTTTTACCTCGGTTCGAGGTCGATCACAGGAGTAGTGCAACACGCTGAAACACCCCCTTTCTTCCGTCGTGACGACGTTGAGGTTTGCGTAGCCCCTCCCCATCATGCTATTGATGTACAGCTGGCCAGAGCGAGCCGCGATGTGCAAGGAGGTGACTCCGTACGAGTCCGCGGCGTTGGCGTCGGCGCCGGCCTCCAGTAGCATGCGCATGATCTCAAGTTGCCTGTAGCAAGCCGCGTTGTACAGGGTGGTCAGTCTTTGCGAGTCGGTGGTGTCGGCGCCGTGTGAGAGTAGCATCCACACCGCCGCCTCCTTGTCCTTCCACGCCGCCATCATCAGCGGCGTCTTCCCGGTCTGCGTATCGGCGACGTTGGGGTTGGCACCGGCCTCCAGTAGCAGGCGCATGATGTCAAGTTGCCTGTAGCAAGCCGCGTTGTACAGGGTGGTCTGTCCGTACGAGTCTGTGATGTTGGCATCAGCGCCGGCCTCCAGTAGCAAGCGCACGATGTCCAGCCGGCCAAAGCAAGCCGCGGGGTACAGGGTAGCCCGTCCGTACGAGTCCACGGCGTTGGCGTCGGCGCCGGCCTCCAGTAGCAGGCGCACAATGTCCAACCGGCCAAAGCAAGCTGCGTGGTACAGGATGGTCTGTCCGTGCAAGTCTGCGGCGTTGGCGTCGGCGCCGTGTGAGAGCAGCATCCGCACCGCCGCCTCCTCGCCCTCCTTTACCGCCTTCATCAACAGCGTCTTCCCGCTCTCCGTATCAGCGACGTTGGGCTTGGCTGCAGCCTCCAGTAGCAGGTGCATGATGTTCAGCTGGCCAGAGTAAGCCGCGTGGAACAGGGAGGTCTGTCCGTACGAGTCCGCGGCGTTGGCGTCGGCACCGTGTGAGAGCAGCATCTGCACCACCGCCTCCTCGCTCTCCCTCACCACCATCATCAGAGGCGTCTCTCCACGAATCATCTCGGCGACGTTGGGGTCGGCGCCGGCCTCCAGTAGCAGGCGCATAATGGCCAGCTGGCCAATGCAAGCCGCGTGGTACAGGGAGGTCTGTCCGTGCGAGTCCGCGGCATTGGCATTAGCGCCGTGTGAGAGCAGCATCGGCACCACTCTCTCCTCGCCCTGCCTCGCCGCCCTTATCAGCCGCGTCTCCCCGCTCTGCGTCCAGGCGACGTTTGGATCTGCACCGGCCTCCAGTAGCAGGCGCACGATGTCCGGTTCCCTGTGGCTTGCCGCGATGTCCAAGGAGGTCTTTCCGTCCGAGTCCGCGGCATTGGCGTCGACGCCGGCCTCCAGTAGGAGGCGCACGATGTCCAGCAAGGCACAGCGAGCCGCGATGTGCAAGGAGGTCACTCCGTACGAGTCCGCGGCGTTGCCGCCGGCCTCCAGTAGCAGGCGCACGATGTCCAGCCGGCCAAAGCAAGCTGCGTGGTACAGGGAGGTATGTCCTTTCGAGTCTGCAGAGTTGGCGTCGGCGCCGTGTGAGAGCAGCATCCGCGCCATCGCCTCCTCGCCCTCCCACGCCGCCATCATCAGCGGTGTCTCCCCGCTCTTCGGCATGGCGACGTTGGGGTGTGCGCCAGCCTCCAGTAGCAGGCGCACGATGTCCAGCTGGCCAGAGCAAGCTGGGTGCAGATCAGGCGCGTAGCCAGGATTTTATTTTGGGGGGGGCGGCAATGCATGAGCACGTGAAGTGTGCGAATCAGGGGCGTAAATCCGTANGATATCCATAATGTTGCTGTAAATTATGCCGCGCGTTTATAGCTCATCTGCGACACACAACTGTTACAAGTACGTACACTACACACACACACACTGCTGTGTACAAACAACAAAATTGTAGAGGAAGTCTAGGCCTATATTCTCAATATTGTATATAACCCGACCAGGCTGTGAGTGTGTGACTAACGTCAATATCAAAGACAGCAACACACAAGGTCTCAGATACAATAGCCTTAAACTGTATAAACGACAAGTAGATCATACACTCAAAAGAAATCATTTAGCTTTAGAACCGTCAGCGATTGGAACTCCCTGCCCGAAGAAATTGTTATATCAAAAACGATAAATGAATTTAAAACAAATTGACAGGCACTGGTCCCACCTGCAATATGACTACCTTAACTAGTCACATAGTTATGATGTAATGATCTGATCACATGATGCAATGTATACAATGGAAATTTACCTTCCAACATATACTCATAATATCGAAGCTACAATACCACGACCAATACCCAATTTAGAATTATTTAACATCGCGAGGGACTATGAACAAAATTGAGGTTTGATGTATTAATTAGACCGGATACAGGCCCTCGGGCCTATTCCTGTAAACCGCTATTCTATTCTAATATACACATTGGGTATACACCGATTGACAGTTCTGCGCCTATGTTCTGTGCCAGTAGTTTCGCATCTCCGCGAAAGCCCGGATGTGCGAGTAAACTCCGCCATGTTGTTTATTTCGATGCGTTGTCTATATTGCATACGCAGGTCGCTCACCTTTGTGTCGAAGAACAGTGCACGTAGCAGGGAATAGAGCACCGATAATGGATGACCTGAGTGACATGACACTTGATACATTTAAATTATGGTCAATTCATGCTCTGAAAGTCTTTCTTAAGCCAATATGATTCGTTTGAACAGCCCTTCACACTACACGTTTCACACGAGTAAAGAATTTTACTCGCAATTCTGGGACGGAAACTCCTCCCGACCTTTGACATTAGGATTGAGCGCATGCATGCGCAGTGTTAAACTTTCAACGGGTGTATTCTAACCCTAGCAATACCGTTTCTTGGAGCTATATTGTATATATAGCTTTCTCTATAACAATGGGCATTATTAAATAGGCATCAATATCTATATCTAATATCTATGGTAGCTATAAGTATAACTCTATACAACACTGATTTACCACTGAAGGATCTTATACATCTGCACTGTCTAGAGGGATCCGCGGCAGCTATCCGCGGGCTATATAGTACTAGAGCTATAGCTACCATAGATATTAGATATAGATATTGATGCCTATTTAATAATAATACAATAAACAGTAATAATAATTTACATTATTATCGCCACTCACGCTTTGAACAATTAGCTTCTTTACGCTGATGTAGTCTTGAGCAATACAACGGACACACTGTTAAGAGAAAGAGAAACTAGTAACATGTTTTGAAAAAAGACTGAGATTATATTTATATAGTATTGCTGTTACATTTATATTATATTATGTATAGAATTGGAACCAACTCGAGTAATTATTACTGTTGCGACAACAAAGTATCATACATGCAAAGATATGATATAATTGATTGTAGTAGTAATAGTTAGAATGAAGCTCTACATGTACTCAAAAGTGCCTCAAATACGATCTCCTGCAATATACATTTTCAAAGTTTTCTGTTGGAGGACTCCAGACCCCCTTCAGGTACCTGTTTTTCACCCCCTGCTTGAAATCCTAGATCTGCCACTGCCCCCCATCCCCCCTAGAAATTTGCTCAGCCTACGGCTCTGGCTTTATAAGTTTATATTGTCAGGGATTTGGGTTGGGGGTTGGGTTGAAAGTAGGAGGGCAGAAGTTAGCGTTTGATGGGTGGGAATATGCAATTCTCTCCCTGAACTCCTTTGCTGTCTGGCACCGTCTGCCGTAAACACTACCTCAGGGTCTGCTGACTCCATTATACTAGGTGCAGGGTTCGAATTTTGCCTGAAAATCTAGTGGACAGCAGGACCACCAACTTCAGAAAGTTGGTGGTCCTGCACAAAAGTTGGTGGTCCGCTTATTTACTAGCAGTGAGTAACAAAATAGTATACAAAAATACCCATTGGCATTAACAGCATACATGTAACTTAGAGTTGGTCAAATAATTAATATATCTCAAGTTCTAGGAATGTTTGGGGAGCTTGTGGGAAAGGTTTTACTTTCGTTTTTCTTCTCCCCAGTCCCAGTGCTTGACACAGCCGGTCGCCCGGTCGCCAATGGCGACCAAAACCTCTGCTGGGCAATTAAAAAATACCCAAAACAAAATATTACAGGCCCAAAATAAAATCTTTTGGGCGAGTACAATTTCTGTTCGGCGTTAACACAGCGCAAATCGCTTATAGCAATAGCAGTTTAGACAGACTTGTAAATGGGAGCGCATTCTAATACGCTCCGTTCCTGAACGTAGACGGGGTATCCAAAACATCCTCCAATCATGATTCGCCACACGAACAAAACCTCGTGACAGTCTAAGAAATCGATTGCAGCATGTAGCGTAGCCCAGTGTTTTTATGATCGCATAACAATAAGTTCATATGTCGCAGGGGTTATTGTGGGCAGTGAGGGCACGACCAGTGACACCTGACACGCACGTAATCAAAGCTGTTAATCAAGGCTCGACACTAACTTTTTTTTTCAGTGGCCCGATCGGGCCACCAAAATCATTGATTTTCAATTTTTGGTGGCCCGAAAATGAAATCTGGTGGCCCGAAAAAAAAACAAGAAAACAACATTTTATTTTCAGATCCTCGTATTGTAATTAGTTGGAATAATGGGGCGCCACACCGCGCCGCGACTGCTGGGCCCGTCTGAATGCACTTGCACAAGTCTTTAAACAACCCACACAATGGCACACACTGACATTAGATGATTGAGGGCATACATTTGATTATCCATTCTCACGGCATCAAATTTTCACGCAGAATCTTGCATACCATTTTTCTATTTCACGTAATTATTTATTTAAACACGCGCTGTGCACATGCTATCTGATCAGTTCAGACGTTCAAGAAATCAAGCTCACAGAGCATGCAAATATTAAAACAATCAAACTGTAATAAAACAACAACACATTGGCTTTTAATGTTAAAATAAAAGCATATACATGTTAATCTCATGAAAGTTAAAATGTCTGGCAGGCTTGAAACTGTAATAAAATATTGCAGATTTAATAAGAATAAGTAGAAACCATAATTATATCAAACAAAGTAGCCTGGTACGCATTGCATTTAAAAAGAAAAAGCAGCCATTGTCTAAGACTTAAGTTCAAATATTCGTTGCGTAAAGAGCACAGAGAAAAGCATAAATAAACTTACAAAGCACTAATATTACACTTCGGATTAAAATACTGATCATCTTCATGGAATAGTTCAGTTATTCTATCGCAACTTTCGAACCGCTGGCAGTTTCGCTTCGGATTCCGAAACAGTGAGGCACCAGTGGCAGCTAGCTAGCAATCAGGGTGACCACGACAAGACTCCCCGTATTTTGCCCATGTTCCCGCGTCACCTGAACCGACCCCTTCCCTACGGGATCGCATGTGTGTCCGGCGGTATGTTTTATACATTTGAAGCAAAAATACATCAAAAAGGAAGAATATTTCATCATTTTTTATATGACAATTGTGTTCCCTGAACTCTCATACGGCTCAGCGTTCATTTTACATACGCCTTCCACAGTACGACTCGCAAGACAGGCGTATGTGTCCTAACGCATTGTCTGGTCGCGTTGATGGCATATGTAACTCACAGGTATGCTGGCGCTGTGCAAACTATGCTGATGGGCCTGGCGGCTCGCTCAGACTTTTGACCTCTGGCTAGACTCGGTTCGCCGCCGAACTGTTCGTTCGCAGACGCGGTCGTAGCATGTCTAAAGCAGAGCGTGAGGCCTGATACCAGTCTAACACAATAACGTGCGCTTGTTGCAGGCCGGCAGTAATCGGATAAACCGTGCCCCGTATGCCCGCGCGTAGAATGCGGCACTGCGTTAGTGTGTGCCCTTGCTCCGCGAAATTGCTCGGTCTCTTGAAATGAGATTAGCAACGTTAAGAAACAATTATTTTTATCACAGTAGACACTGTTGAAATTTTAGTGTCGCGATCGGGCCACCACATTTTAACTTTGGAAATTTTGTGGGGCCCGACATCAAGTTTCTGCGTGGCCCCAGGCCACGGGCCACCGCTAGTGTCGCGGCCCTTGTGTTAATTGAATGTCGTCACCTTTTGTTAGTAGAAAGTGGACGTATTTTAATTCAGTTTAGATATATTTAGAAGCGCAATGTAAACTGTAATGTGTACTTTCAAGCTTTTAGGCCACGTTGTAACTTTGCGATGTGTCGGACAGCAATTTTGATCTGTGCATTGGCTGGCTACCCAGGAACTGGTAAGGCAGAAAAACGAAAGATAAAACGCTTTCCCAGAGGCTCGCCCTCACAATTCTCTAGAGCTTAAATATATTATTTGACCAACTCTATGTTCACATGTATGGGCTGTTGATTGCTGAATAGATTATTTTATATACCATTTGTTGACTTCATCTGCTAGTAAATAAGCGACCAACGCAACTTTTGTGGCGCAGCCGACCGCACCGAACCTTTCTGAGTGTGCGTCCTGCTGTCCCTAGATTTTCAGCCAAAATCGAACCCTGCATGCAAATGTGGCTTTGTGTCAGATGTTGACAAGCTCTTGTAGGCCATAAAGTCCACTGTACGCCGTTGTATCGTCATGCGTAAGATAATACCAAATTGTAAATGGGCTACAGTTTTTCATTTTGGGGCCAGAAGAAAGAAATTCTGGTGGCCCAAAGAAAAATATTGGGCCAGCCTTTGGCTGGCGCGACTGTCAGCACTGCAGTCCCACGGTAGCTCTCCACTGCATATGATCAAGAGTTACACGTGCCTATTAGAATCTTGTATTACACTGTCTGACATTGCTCTGAGATATAAATAATGTAAAAATAGCCCACTTTCTACGTAAAGAAAAGTGACGAATTCAGTTAACAGCTTTGATTACGTGCGTGTCAGGTATCACTGGCTATGCCCTCACGTACTCCCCACGATAACCCCTGCGACATATGAACTTATTGTTATGCGGTCATAAAAACACTGGGGTCATGCCGCAATCGATTTCTTAGACTGTCACGAGGTTTTGTTCGTGTGGCGAATCATGCGTTGAGGGAGTTTATGCCCTCGGCTTTAGATGTTTTGGATACCCCGTCTACGCTCAGGAACGGAGCGTATTAGAATGCGCTCCCGTTTACAAGTCTGTCTAAACATCCGTTGCGATAACCGTAGTATTTCAGCCTAATATGAGGGGAAAAAGTGCCGGTCAAGAGGACCGGCAGTTTCGTAGAGATGGTGGCTGAAGCAAAAACTTGGTGGCCTCGGGCCTCCGGGTCGGCACTAATTTCGAACGCTGACTAGGTGGATAAAGTTCTTAAAGTAAAGGATTAATAAGACATAAATTCTTAATATAGTTTTAGCATTAAATTTATTCCGCATGATTTACTGACAACTGTACCTGTTTTGCAGGTTGTGACTGTGGTCAACCAGCCTGAAGCTGAACAAAGTCTTACAGCAATAACTATTAGGAAACCACGACAGACAATCAAAACTGTTGAAGAAATGGCACGTGTTACTAGTGACAACTAGTATGATACTATTGGTATGGTGACAAAGGAGTGGAAGTACAGTGACGTTTGTGATAACCCTTTTTATGAGGATTGACTATATGAAATAGGCTGAAGATGGCTTTCACGGTAAGTATTAAAAAGTTGCTACAGGATAGGAAGAAGGTGGACGTGGAAATAGTGTTAAAGGGGTAGAGAGAAGAAATGAAGGTGTGGGGACGGGAAGGAAGAACGCAGATAAGGTTGACCAGTTATGCAGAAGGTTGATAAGTGGTAAATAAGAGGGGAGAAGGCAAAGGTTTGAAAGGGCATTAAAATTGTTTAAAGAGTAAAAATGTAATGGGCATGGCATTTCTGGTCCCAACACTTTTACTCACTTTGGGCTACCAAGGAAATGTTCATTTTCATCACTGGTGTAGTGCATAACAGTAACGTATATTGTTAATTGCAGGTCCAAAACTACAATCCCTTTCCAGGTACTCGGCTTGCTAGAAATCCACCAATGCTATACATCTGTGTAGGAGTGCTAGCATGTGGTATTATTCTTACTGCCCTAAATGTGTATGAATTAAGGAATATGCAAAGAGAGCACTTTGATGGTCACAAATATGGTCCTGTTGCTGAGGGGCGAGAGGAGGCAGTCAGACCAAAATACTGGCTGTATGGAAAAAGGGTAAGCTGTGATGTGTTAAAACAAAATAAATATGGTTATCGAATTATACAATATGCATACCTATTGTAAGTTTCAAATGGAATTTATTGGTATGTAATATCAGAAGTAGATAATAAGGAAGGAGTGTGACTTCAATAACAAGGGAAATTCGTCATTTACTATCCTTAGAATACCTACGATTTACTACGCGTAACTAAACCAACTTGAGCTCAAATCGTACACAGTACATTCGCCTAGCATCGTGCGAAATCGTTTCCTCGTTTACACCCGCAATCCGTAGATACAGACTAAAACGTACGACATGATTCTCCATTCTGTTGCCAGCAAACCGAATCCATAACCGGCCTAACTTGAAACAATAGGCAGCTACTAACGAGTCTTGCGCACTCTTGTGCCCTCGGCGATGCGGTGTGCCTCACTTGGAGATTGGACATCGACGCAACACTCGGCGAGCTAATCTTTGACCTATTTACAGCAGCTGGTATGCCCCCCACGCACGCACGCCCACCGCAATCAAGCATCTCCAGCTCCAATCTCCCAGCGAACCACACCGCATCGCCGAGGGCATGAGTGCGCAAGAGTCGTTACTAGCTGCCTATTGTTTCAAGTTAGATGGGTTATGGATTTAGTTTGCTGCCAACAGAATGGAGAATCGTGTCGTACGTTTTAGTCTGTATCTCCGGATTGCGGGTGTATACGAGGAAACGATTTCTCACGATGTTAGAGGAATGTACTGTGTACGATTTGAGCTCAAGTTGGTTGAGTTACGCGTAGTAAATCGTAGGTATTCTAAGGCTAGTAAATGACGAACTTCCCATGTTTATTGAAGTCACACTCCTTCCCTATTATTTACTTCTGGTAATATGCAGTGATATGTTTTCGTTTCTGAATTAGGTCAGACGTATTTTGATTAAATTGTTTACGTGCCTGAGTTTGTGAATGTTACTTATTTGAAGGTTGCAAAATACATTGCAGAATGATGGCATTTGCATATACAGATTGAGCACCCCTTGTTGAAAATGCTCGGGGCCAAAAGTGTCTCAGATTCCAGAATTATTTTGGTTGGGAATACCTAGATATCTATGAACTGAACCATATCAGAAAGGTAACGAATTACCCATTCCTGGCATGATTTCGGCATTCTAGAATCTAGATAATGTGAGGACATTGGAAGTTTTAGAATTTCTAGTGTTAAAATAAGGGGTGCTCAACTTCTACTTACAATCCAGTCACGAAGGCAAGTCAGGGGGTTCACAAACAATGACCTCTCTTGGTAAATGGTATTTTTAATTTTAATGAGATATATATGGAAAACCCATTTGATAAATAGTCGTGTGTTCATAGTGTCTTTATAATATTTTGGTGAGCATGTGCTAGTGTGTGATGCGTGTAATTAACAGTTTTCTTAACTTTTCATTTTGTCAAATAAACAGCTGGACAGTGGGTATCTGAGCCATGTGATGGCTGTATTTGACAGAACTGGCTATGCCAGAGGAGATGAAAATACTGAGGACTGGGATGTGCTATGGGCACATGACTACCCTTTCCTGAAGCTTGCAGACAAATTGCACTCCCTGGAACCCCATCAAAAGGTAGGTCACTATTTTTATTGGCTAGGGGGTATGGTCTTCTTAGAGCAATACACCTGACAGCATGCTGTATTACCAATGTATACAATCATGAAACTAGCAGGTATATTAATATAGGCAGCGCTAGAAAAGGCCGGTCGCCCGGTCGCCACAGGCTGAAAAGGATGAAAATTCCGACTTCAATGAGTTCGACTTCGATGACTTAATTATGACTTGTTTACTCACTTATGTAACTGGTTGGAATCGATGGCATCATTGGTAATAGAGTATGGCTTCATTATTCAAAACTTTGGTGTTTTTTGTGTTATTATTGTGTTGTTATGCTAACATCTTCTCTATACCGTCCTGATAGGGAAATGCAATTTAATGTTGGAAAAGTTTTGTTTCGGGCCAGTGGATTTCAATTCTCACTGGCCCGAATTTTTATATTCGGGCTAGCTGGAATTTTTACGAGTTTCTAGCGCTGAATATAGGTATAACTATATGTAACATAGCATATATGTAGTACTTTTACTAACTAAAATAATGGAATCATTCTGTACTGTCTCTCTGTTTACTATATTAATGTCTAATGTTCTCTCCAGATATTAGCTGGAGGCCTAGTTATTTCTCTGCATTCTCAACATGATCATACACTTTTTACTGTTTTGATACATTTACACAATTACCTGATTACCACTATTAAATAATATGGCCATTCAAGAACTCTGTACTAACATTTCTATCAGTTATACTATAGAAAAACCATACATAATCAAGAGTCCATAATACTATGTGTTGTGTTATGTTGTTGACTCTGTTCAGATTAAACATAACACGTAATTTCAGTGAGGTCACCATGCTGGTTCTCAATCTTTATTTTCCTTTGTTCTCTAGCCCTTGTACATCGCAAGGGCTAGATAACGTAGTTCCTATCACAACATCACCCTCCTTTCAACAGTAGGCTTAATGTGGCCATTAATTACTCATTTTGTTATGCACCATGCATTGCGAACGTAACCTCTACAACATTTTTCAAATCTAAAACCTTAACATGAAATAACACAGAACTGCTATAATTAAAACATAATTAAAATGTTTAACACATCTATATAACACTTGTCAGTCTTTTTGTCTGTACTAAGTGTGTGAATGCATATACATGTGTTCATTCTTGGTAACGAGCTGGTCGACGAATTTCGCGACCAGACCGTGTGGTGTGTGGGTCTGACTGTGGAAGGCTAACTTGTCAGTGCTCTTCAACCTTCGTTTCTTTATCTTCAAAGTGCACTCTCCATGGAATTGGAGTAGCTGTAGTTGTAGTATCATTGCGTGCACTGCTGGTAGGGACTTCCCTCAAGTGGGAACGGTTTCGTCGAAGGATAGCACCATTCGGTGTCGACACTTTGTACGACCTTGGTTCTTCGCACACGTTCATGACTTTCGCAGGTATCCAAACGTGCTCCTGCGGGTGCAGGACATGGACCGGCTGCTCTATATGGAGTGGTGGGAGCTCCGTCCCAGCACGCTTGTCATGCGATTCCTTCATTATGGTCTGTCTTTGCAAGAGATGTTCTGTTGTCGATGCGTCTCCTGCGAGGTGATGACACGGGAGACTAGTTCTGATCGGCCTACCAAACAGGATCTCGGCAGGGGACTTGATGTTTGAATCCACTGGTGTTGCTCGAAGTGTAGCATTGCTATCTGTGAGTCTTGGCCGGTCTTCGCACACTTTTTTAGGAGAGACTTGACAGTCCGGACCATTCACTCGGCTAACCCATTTGACCTTGGATAGTGAGGTGACGACGTCGTGTAGGTAATCGTGTGGTACCCACTTGTTACACATTTCCTGGAATGGTCTTCCTGTGAATTGTGCACCGTTGTCTGACATGGGTGACATTGTGGGCCGAACAGACTGAATATTCCACTCATGACACCCACTACAGCTGCACTTGATGTGTCCCTCAGCTTATAGATTATGGGGTATTTCGAGTAATAGTCTGTGACAAGGAGGAAGTCTTCTCTGTTCAAGGTGAAGAGATCCATTCCTAGCTTGATCCATGGAGCTGCTGGTACATCGTGAGGCTGCAGTGGCTCTTTCTGCTGCCTTGCTTGGAGCTCTTGACATGCATCACAACCCTTTGTAATGCATTCTATATTCTTGTTGATGTTGGGCCAGAAGATTGTTTTACGGGCCAATTGCCTTGTTCTCTCAATCCCCATGTGGCCAATGTGCAGTTGCCTCAGGATGTCATCTCGAAGCATTTGTGGGATGACAACCTGTCTTCCCTTGAATAGAACTCCATGCGAGACTCCGAGTTCGTCTCTATATGGCTAAAATGTACGCAGTGATGTAGGAACTTCCTTTACGGAATCTGGCCATTCGTTCGTCACGAGTTGCCACAGGGCTCGCAGAACGGGGTTACTAGATGTTTCCTTCTGGAGCTCCTCTCGTCTGTTCTGGCCAAAGAAGATGAGATCGATGCCGAGCACGTCTTCGACATCGGCACAGATATCTTCCACTCTGACGTCAACCGGGATGTCCCGCGCGTCTCTTGGATTGGGCATCCTGCTTAGAGTGTCCGATAGCACCTTGTGCTTTCCATGCTTGTAGCGTACATCACACTTGTATCCCTGGATCTTGATCAGCAACCTCTGTAAGTGTGGTGGCGCACTTCTGAGCGGTTTCTTCCATATCGTTTCTAGTGGTTTGTGGTTGGTTTCCACAACGAATTCTGCTCCAAAGAGGTATGTGTGGAATCGGTTGATGCCAAAGACAAGTGCCAGCATTAGAGTAATTTGCCTGTGCTGGGGAAAGACTCTGTGATGCAAATGCTACCGGGTCGCCATCTTGGAGTAGGCATGCCCCTACTCCCTTCATGGACGCATCCACTTCCAGGGTTGTTTCTCTCCGTGGATCGTGGTACTTGAGACATGCATCTTTCATGATCGCATTCTTGAGTGTGTTGAAGGCATGCTCATGATCAACATCCCAGAGAAAAGGGATGTCGTTCTTCATTAATTCCTGCAGCGGTGCTGCCTTCTCAGAGAAGTTGGGAATGTATCCAGCAAGGAATGTGAACAGTCCGAGGCATTGCTGGACGTCCTCCTTGTCTTGAGGTGCTGCCATTGACTTGATGGCTTCTACTTTACTTGGATCTGGTTGGATTCCAGTCCTTGTGTAAAGTGATCCAAAGAAGTTGATGCTCTCCTTCTTGATGGAGCACTTGGCACTGTTGAAGACGAGGCCCTCTTGTCTTGCTCTCTCTATCAACCGATGCAAGTTCCTGTCGTGTTCTTCAGTTTGTCCCACGACAGCTATGTCGTCTGTAATGCATACACATCCTGGCACACCATCGATAATCCTGTTCATCTGCTGCTGGAAGATATCATGACTGACGCAGAGGCCAAAAGGCAACCGTTGGAAGTAATACCTTCCGAATGCTGTACGGAAAGTCGTGAGCTTTTGGGAGCCCTCTGACAGGTGCACGGACCAATACCCTGCCTTCGCATCCAACTTGGAGAAGTACTTTGCTCCTGTAAATGCATGGTTCAACTCTTCCAGAGTTGGAACTTTGTACGGGCATCTCTTCAAGGCATCATTGAGCTTTCTGGAATCAATACATAAGCGTATGGATCTATCCTTCTTCACCGTTGTAGTCATGGAGCTACACCAATATGTGTGGTGCTCTATACTGCGAATGATCCCGTTTTTCTCCATGTCATCGAGTTCTGCCTTGATCTTTTCTTTTAAATGCACTATACACTTGCGTGGTGGGTCAATCGTTGGCTTGGCATCCTCCTTGAGATTCAGCTTTTCCACAAAGGTTTCCTACTACGTCAAACTGCTCAGGGTACGCTTCCTTTAAGTCCTTGACACCCGTGACTTTTGCTTTGCATATGAGTGCTTCAGGCTTTCTTTGCACCTCATGTATTGTGACAATACTCATCGCGCTGCAACCTGGCAATCCAAGGATCGCTGGACCACCAACATCTACCACATAGTAGGTTTGAGTGGTCCATTCTGGACTCTTGTACCTGCACAAGATATCTAGAGTGCCTAAGCAGTTGATCTGTGTGCCGTTGTATGCTGTCAGCTGTGTTCGGGTAGGGCGTATCACAGACTTCCATCTCTCATTATACATGTTCTTGAGAGTTCTTAGAGGCAGTGTATTGCCACTCGCGCCAGTGTCTACCTTGAGGCGAAGGCGATGCTGTCCCATTTTTTGGGGACATACTATGTCAATTTCGGCAAAAGCTTCTGTGCCTGCCGGATTGTACATCGCATGTGGCTTGGTCATGCCTACAACATCAAAGTGTTGCATTTCCGGATACCCGTGTAGGGGAACATTTCCCGGGGGACCTTGTGCATACATTTCTTGTATAGGTCTCTTACCCCTATTGCTAGATATGGAACGGTATCTCTGCTTCCAGTGTCTGGATGGACTACTGTAACGAATGAATTACTAGTTCATGTAGTAATGATGAATGAAGGAATCCAAACTTGTGTGGTAACCGGAATAACCTTTAATAACTGGCACAGTGTAGACACATCTTGCACAAAGACAAAGCAACGCGCACACGCGCGTCAGCGCAGGCGCTTCCTCTCGCTACCGACACCAGACTCTCTCCTTTCTCCTACATCTCTGTCCTATATATTCCCCCCAAAACTCCTACATCCTGCACGCGCATGTACCCGTTCTCCCAAACCGCATCCTACCCCCATTTCACAATGACCCTAGAAACTGCCTAACCTAAAAACACGCTTATCCAATTCCCTGTAATATCAATGCAACCGCACAATATGCGCGACGCTCCGTCTACACAGACCACCACCAAAACAACCCCCCAGCCCAGCCTCGCTGACTAATTCATGCAACACATGCAAAACACATGTTACACTACGCCTTCCACCCGACGGCCTGCGTGGACTGCAGCCTCGTTGCTGTCTTTTTTGCCTACATACCTTAGCCCAATGACCCTTCTTGTCGCAAATGTGGCAAGTGTCCTTAAATGTCAGACAGTTGTGGGGTGCATGCGTGTTGCCGCAATTGCCGCACGGCTTCTGTGTTTTGTGGCGCGCTATGGTGCCAACGGTTCTGCCAGTGTCTAGTGTTTGTAGACACTGTCTCCCCAACGCTAGGGCTTCGAACTTCCTGCCCTCCGCTAGGATACTGTAAATAGGGTACCCATTGGGCTGGTTCAGCAAAGCCTTCTGGAAAGATTCGATTGGTGTTGTGGTAAGCACCAGCTCTATTATTCTTTCCTGGAGTTCGTTCTCTGAAAAGTCGCAATCTTGTGCCTTGTCTCAGCACCTATTTAGGAACTCGTCGATAGTTTCGTCTGTCCGCTGTCTATAGCACATCAGCTCGAGCCGGTGTATGCGAAAATTCACATGAACTTTGAGCTGTGCTTCAATTGTGGACCAAGGTTTTCCTGGGTTCTCCAGGTCGGTTTCAGATAGACCAGAAGTGTAAAGCCTATGTAGTCCTTTCCCTCCGAGTGCATATTTTATCTGAATTGCTTGCTTCTCAGGGTCCTGTACATCCTGGTTCTTGAGAACAAGCTCCACACGTTGTTTGAAGAGCTTGAATTCAGCTGGAAGGTCTCCAGCCTTCCAGATTATTTCTGGGTATTTCACCATTGCGTATATGCGTGCTGGGTGCACTGAATGTACTTGTGTGAGAGTTATTTGCTGTTGCGTACTGTGAAATGTGTGCGTTAACAGGGCTTGTAATGTGCGATGCAAATTTTAAATTCCCACACAAAAATTCAAAATGTATACTATACAAACATACGATACTATAAAATCAATCATCGTGCATTGCCATGGTAACTGGTATTATAGCTGACCCATAAACAGCTAGTCGAAGTAGTAAGGGTTAGACTACTGACTGTTGTGTGTAAATAAACCAATTATCCTCAGTAGACCTTAACATAACGCAAGCTGTGACTAAGGTGGGTCTATACTAGCAATTTATAAATTTTACAAATGCATAAGTTCAAAAGTGGTACCGGTACATCAACATGGTAGACTATTTCGCCTGTGCCACGTAAAATATTGGTGGAGATCTTCACACCTGCTTAATTAGCTTATAGATACTATTGTCTCTCAACAGTCCTAGTCACTCAACCAATGAGTTTTTATTTTGTGAGTATTTCGTCTAGAGTTTGCTCATGCTCATCAAGCTGTTCGTCCTCTTATTTCACATGTTCCTAGATATCTCCAGCAACTTCTGTTTCTGCTTGCCCGATGTGGTCCGCCTGGCAGTGCTACTTGGTGCCAACGTTGTCCCTGCTGTCGCAAAATGGGCGATAACTGGCTACATCCGCCTATACGTTGCGCGCGATGTTCACTCTGGAAGCTTGTCTGCCGTAACTCGTGGTCTACAGCTGGCTGCGATGCGTGAATGCTGATCACGGTATCGTATACAGTGTGTAAATACACTCTGACTTTTACTGCATGGCAATGTTCTGTCGAAAACTCGACACTGACACTGTTCCTGTTGTGCCAGCTTCGCTGAATCTATGCTAGTATAGCCTGACTGCGATGAGAGCTGGTCCATCGAGTAACCCGACGCTGGTCCTGCGTGCGAGACAGCTAGCTAACGTGTTCGCTCGTACATCACCGGAGGCTCTGTCGCTCGTACCCGGCGTCTCAGGCAGAAGCGTGTACACGGTGCTGTACGCTTCTCAGGCTCACATCGGTGTACAGTTTCTACCCGTATCACGTCAAGATTGTCCGAAAATGCATCGAGGGTAATCACTAAAGGTTACTGCGACAATGGCATGGCAATCTTTTCACCGCTGCCACCATGTTGTGTTATGTTGTTGACTCTGTTCAGATTAAACATAACACGTAATTTCAGAGAGGTCACCATGCTGGTTCCCAATCTTTATTTTCCTTTGTTCTCTAGCCCTTTTACATGTATATAAACGCCTGCGCGTAATAACATAGTTCCTATCACAACACTATGTCTATCGTAATATTAACATTGGTTTTTGTTACAACATGTTTTTATTCAAATAAAGAACAAGAAATCCTCTGTAATTCTTGCCCAGGGCCAAGAATGTGTGTTTGGAATTCATGGATCTCATTGGTGCTGTTCCAACCAGGAAGCACAAGTCATATAGGTGGCACGTTTTATCTGGTGCTTATACCTCTTAAGAACCTTAATCATGGTATACAATGTTGATAGAGGGTGTTTCAAATTATACTCTTTATGTAGCACGTAATGTGATTCATAACGATAGAAATAACGGGTGATACCATCGCACAATGATAGATCAATCACATCAATCACGTTGGTCACACGTGAAGAGAAAGATGGAACAATAGTGTGTTATATTTACTTCTGTAGGTGAACCATTTCCCTGGATCTGGATGGGTTACAAACAAGGTGGAGTTAGCCAGAACACCCTTGACTCACATTCCACCAGCATTTAAGATGCCCCATGAAAGAGAGAAACTCATAGCACACGTGAGTGCAATAAGGAAACTAATACCCTGCACAGACTGCAACATTTGATCCTACATCAAACTAGTCCGGGCCAGGCGTGCTTTAAATCGCTGAGTATACAGACACAAAATGTTGAACCACGCTAAGTTAGCACGGGTTGACTGTGCATGCTTGTTATGTCACTCAGCAGACAACTACTGTACTTTTATGTGACTCAAATAAGTCATATCGGAAAGTCCAGCTGGGTTATTTAGATAATAGAAAAAGGGGTATAAAATGGCCGCGGCGCGCTTAGGAAAGTACATGATTAATGTAAACACTCGTGCGTTTTTAGTTTTTGCATTAACACAAACATTGCAAAATATCCCAAATGACCACAATTATATTTGTAAATGTTTCTGTAAACAGAAACGCACCTGTGAATTGAAGTACGATGTTAGTGAAGAGAATTATAGATCAAAAACCATCTATACTATTGTACTATCGTAACTATGTTATATATAGGCAACTTATCAACCCTCTTATCTGATCTCAATATGGCGGCGGGGACTTTCCAATATGGCTTATAAGGCTATGCGCAGGCGTATTCCGAAATTGAGCCTGCGCCTGGCTCTAGATTGTGCACACACAGTTTAGTGCGGGCTAACCTAGTCCGGGGTAACTTAGCATGGTTCAAAGCAGGCCTGGCCTACCTCCATTTGCAGAGCTAACTTAGTCCCCTTACTAGTGCGTATTTAGCCCAGGATAGCGTGTACACACTGCAAACAATTTAGTGTGCTCCTGGCCCGGACTAGTTTGACGTGGGATCAAATTTGCAGTCTGTACAGGGTGTAAGACTGACTTGAGAGAGGTCAGGTGTGTGACTGTCATAACTGGCAGACTTACATGAATGCATTTATTTATTGTCGCTAATTACTCATAGACTGTGTGAAAATGAGTTGACAATAAAGTCTATAGATGTTATAGTGGAAGACTATAGGTGATCTCTTCCATATTTTCTTTACGTTATGCTAAACTATTGGGTACACAAAGGCATACTAGGCCCATTGATTATGCAATGTTGACGAATGCTAGAGTATCTGGCACCTTGTGTAGTTAATAAGTACATAACCTTACATCCAAACGCGTATTAGTTTGTCCATTATCACTGCTGGTTACTAAGAAATGTATAATTGAAATCCGCAGTCCAAGAAATCAGTTGTTTACAGTTTCAAACCGCTGCTGGCAAAGCGGGTGTGATACAGATTTATAGTGCACCGAACATTTTCGCACGCATGCTCGGCCGTACGCAATGCTATCATCAGTGATTTCGTAAACACGGACGCTCGTGATAAGGAACTTTTTGTCAGGGCTTGTCCATGTGCGTCCGTGATTAGTACGTGTGTTTTACTCCATTTAGATGTTTAGTCCGCTGACACCTCCATTTCATCTATCATTATCATTATTAATTTATATTCCTAGGCAAATAAACATCCTGAGAAGCTTTGGGTGCAAAAAAATAGCAACCACCGTGGGATCAAGATACAAAAAATTGCAGGTGATTAATTTTGACACTTCTTTGAAATATTTGTTGAAGTTGTTGAAATGATTAGGGAATCAATTGGCTTACAAATGTTTGTGTGTAGTTTATGAGAGAATATCACCACAGCTGACTGCGTGGGTTCAAGGGTTTATGCGTGTGTATACACGTTTTGGTGATTGTATGAATGAAAGAGTGTACTTAAATTCATCAAAGCCTTTATTTCAAACATAATTTCCAGCCAGCCTCGTGTTTTCCTCACTTTTATGACACTTACCGTTATAGCTTGAGTAACAGCAACTGTGTAGTGTGTAGTATATATCTAACGTCTAAACATATCTTGAATTCTTAGCAGCCAGAGATGCTCTATCAAAATTTCTGGTTAGCATAGAAAGTTTTACTCAGGATTGATGTAAGCATTTTCAGACAGAACTCTTTCTAGAATGTCTGTTAAACCTTTTTCTGTACCTACTGGTCACAGACTTGGATCTAAAGGCAGAAGGGACGTTTGTACAAGAATACATTGCAAAACCACTGCTTATAGATGCAAGGTAAGTGGTTTTCAGAACAGTTGATATTTTTAGGCATTATAATATTGTTGGTAGAGATTTATTGTATTTATAAAGACTTGCTTTAGGTATGATTTTGCTGTAGCGATCATATATCTACTGATTTCACTCACATACTGCACATATTTAAATACATAATTTTTAGCTCATCTGACGTAGTCAGGTGCAGCTTGTAGAATCGCATGATTGTCCGTCCGTCCGTGCATCCGTGCGTCCGTCCGGCCATCAGCAGTTGGGCACAAATCTTAACCGCTCGACGT